CACCAGCAAATGCAAATGGCCGCCACACAATGTACTTCAAAGTAGCTACTACATAGTCCAAATGGGCAAAAATGGCGGCCATGAGCATGCCGGTGGTACATAGTCACCACACCACAGATGTACTCTGGTACATGGGCACCACACCACAGATGTGTGAGCTACGCCCATGCATCAAGACACTCAGTGTTGTTGTTGTTGTTGTTGTTGTTGTTGTTGTTGTTGTTGTTGTTGTTGTTGTTGTTGTTGTTGTTGTTGTTACTTTATTTTACTTCACCAGAATTACAGGCAGTAGAATGCCTTCTCACTAGACCAGGTCTAGTTCTCACAAATGATGAAGAATGTGAATGAACGTGCTGAAGCTAATGAAAAAGAAGAAATAGAAAAAGTGTACAGGTACAAGACTCACGGTCACATGTTGGTGATGGTGCACTCCACGTTGCGTTCGCCGTGCATTGAGCGACATGGTCACCAACCAACTTGAAGCCCACATTGCAGCGGTAGTGGACGCCGTTGGATTTGTACGAGCGTCCATGCTCCACAAGTTTACCGTTTGCCAGCGTGTTGCCCGCTCGAGATGGGCAGTTTACAGCAACACACACACACACACACACACACACACACACACACACACACACACACACACACACACACACCGGCTAGTTTCGTTCTCTTCGTGTAAGGTCAAAATAATTGAAAAAGAAGTATGGTTGTGTTACTCATGGCGTGTGCGCACCCACCCATACCCCCCCCCCCCCCACGCACACTCACACACACACACACACACACACTCACACACACAAACACACCCACCCACACCCACACCCACACCCACACACATACACCCACAGTTACCACACACACGCACACACACACACGCACACACACACACGCACGCACGCACGCACACACACACGCACATAACACACGCATCCACCACATGGCAACGGTTGGGGATTCAAGTAGGTGGCACAACGCTAGCATCCAGGCTCCTCAACGCTTACCCACGCAATGCGGTGTGGGGCTAGACCACTGGCCTTGATAGTTGCAGGAGATCCTAGCGGCGCCATGCATCTTGAAGCCTATAGCGCAGGCAAAGTCGGCGCTAAAGAACCCACTGGCATTGCTGTACGTGATGGTTCCATTGCCAAACGTCCCAAAACTTCCGCACCGCAAAGGTTCTGTTGCGCGGGAAGGAACACAAGACAGAAGACACGGACAAGATTAAGAAGAAGAACCAAGAATCGATGAACTACAAGTTAAACCGGGAACAAGTCAGACTCACCAACATTTTGGCCGACTGTCAAGCGTCTGAATAGCTGCTGCGACATAGAACCGAGGACAGAGGGCATGCTGCACTGTAACCCCATCTGAATATTTCCTTAACCTTAAAACTTAACTTTATCGTTCCAAAATTTCGGAACGACGCTTCATGCAGCTTCATTGTAACAACAATTAGTTCTATGCCAACACTGGCCCACACTCGGTCGGACGTGTTGTGGTCAACGTTTTGGTCACTAGGACCATCTTCAGGATCCGTATCGTTCCGTAAATATTTTCCGATAATGCCGGATGGCGGTTGCGGTTGAGTGTAACTTAGTGTTGAAGTAACACATACTGAAACTACTTCAAGAGGACCTGAGAATTGGGGTGCAGTTTAAAATTGGATGCGACTGAAAATCGGGGAAACACAGTATTTGCTCGCCAAGCCACTTGAAACTCAAGGAAATGACAAGCTTCAGACTCCTAGTCGGTACCAGACTACCCCGCCGGGGGTTTCAAATTCTTTGTCTTATAACCAGTATTATCTACTATCCGGACTGGAATGTACGCGTTTCAGGTGTCAGGGCATTTTGGATCGTCGTCGTCTACTAATGAGGTTCGTAACCGATGTTGTGCTAGCGGGGGTAAACCTGCAATCAACATCCTAAAAAGCTCATCCACTAGTAGTTCCATTGCCTTGCATTCGTTGCCATTCGTTGCAAGTGTAAGAGCTGGGAGGATGTTTACTGTGAGGTGCTTGAAGTCTGTTCTTTTCTTTTAAGAAAAATAATTTTTACTGTATTTCATCTCCACGAATATCTTTGAAGTCACTTGACCTTGGAGTTGGGTTCTGTGTTCTTTGTTTATATAGATGCCTAGCACGGGAATTTCAAGGATGAATATGTGATAAATGAGAACTGTCGGTCGCCGAAGACCTGGGGGGGGGGGGGGGGTGAGCTTCGTAGCTTAGTCCGTTGTTATTGTCATGTACTACAGTCTATGCACAGCTTAGTCACCATGACTGTATACATTGGTATGTTGTGCTTTTGGTGAAATTCTAGCCTGTTCGTTCTTCGGCGCTCCGTTCTTCGGTGCCCGATCGTAGTGTAGTGAAAATGTAGATGTCAGTGCACTGTTCAACGGTATCTGCTGGGGTGATAGCTACACCATAGCTCAGTGGTTAGAGTATTGATGGCTGGCCTCAAGCGAAGGTCCCTGGTTCAAGTCCTGTTGGTGACGGTCAATTTTTTCTTCAGACTTTTTCCCTTTTCCATTCCGTTTATTAGCGAATAAATGTCAGCGCACTGCTAGCTGAATTTTCAGGACTGTTTGTGATACCTTGACACATGCGGGTGACGTCGTCCGTCGGGCATGCACAGATGTAAGCAGTCGTGGCGCTGGAGGAGCACTGCTTGCGTGCGTTGTGCAGTACCGAGAGCGGAGGTGCCGATCCTGCAAGGGGGAAAACCAGCAGCACAGAGAGCACAAAACGATACTTGGTATGTTGCTTTTGTATTTAGTTCAAGTACAAATTTTCGTTTGGAATTAACTTTCGCTATATTCGGTAGTATTTAAATAACCGACGAGGAGACAACAGTCGTAAAATAGCAATGAAAAATATCAATTGTGCACTCATAATCATGTATAAACAATTAAAATGAAACAATTCCAATTTGGAATTGTTTCATTTTAATTGTTTATACATGATTATGAGTGCACAATTGATATTTTTCATTGCTATTATATTCGGTAGGGGGCACAAATTAACTAAAGTTTGTACCAAACTAAAGCTTTTTTCTGAACGTTCGGGGTGACGGACCTCGACCAAAAACGAAATTTAGTACGTAACAAGCCTGCTGGTGGAGTGATCTAACGAAAGATTTCGTCAACGAAAATTAGTACTTATACAGTAGTGAATCTGCGGACAGCATGCTGTTTGGTTCTTTGTGAACCAGGGTTCTAGCCAAAGGGAGGTAGGGGTAGGGGGCGCAGCGCCCCCCTACTCCGTTTGCGCCCCCCCCCCCCTGTGAAAAAGTGCCGCCCCCCCCTACTCATTTTCCGATTTTTGTGTTTTTTCACGCCATTCAACGAAAATACAGTCGATAGTCACTACTAGAGGGTTCATAAAGGCACATTTGTGAGGGGTGAAGTCGGGGTTCACCCTGTATGTTGCATTTTGCATGGCAAGACCATTTTGGACAATGGAAAAAATGGGTCATGGGGTACCTTTTTCCCATGCCTGCCCCCCCTACTATATTGACCTGGCTAGAACCCTGTGAACTCAGTATGCACTAATGCACTAACTTCCACACTAGCATCAAATATCTAGGCCTGCTCGTAGAGAATTCGATAATGAATGCTGCTGCTGTCTGATGTTCGCTCCGATGCGTGAAACTTTAAGTTACAGCTAACACAGCCTTTCGCCTCGGTTGTGTGTGTATACTTACACAGTATGTTGTATTTACAAAGAGGCTCCCTTTAGCCAGCGGACAGGGTTCAACACAATAACATGGACCGCCATTACACACAAAAAAGCACAAAGGAGGTTTACAGAGATCTTCGCAACTCCGAGTTTTCTTCCACAATGCAATCATCAGGCGACCTGATTGTATTGTGCAAGGAACTGTGAGTTGCGACATACTGCAAACACCTTATGTAATAGAACGAAGCGCTAATTCTAACGAGTTAACGGGGAGAAATCTGTCGTTAAAATAGAAAACGTTAGACAGAAATCGCTACATATTGTTGCTATTGAGCGTTGAGAATGAGTGAGAATCGTTACCTTTGGTACACGTAAACTGGTCAATTTTAGGAAATCGTTATAATGTGCGCCTCGTTAGAATAATGGCTGTTACAGAACACTGTAGGTCTTCTTTGTGTCTTTTGTGTGTATTTGTATTGATGGATTCGCCACAGACCTTGGCTTAAATTAGGGGAGGCTCCGCTGGTGAAGCTTTTTTGTTTGTACAAACCATGCCCTGCAGCTGCCACCCAGGTATCTTGATCAGGCATAGCGTATTTGTATTTGTATTTACTCAATCTGCGGACAGAACTGTTCCGTCCTTTGTGAACTCCTCAGCGCAGCACAGAGAAAATGAGGCCGAACCTGATTGCAATGAAAAATAAGTATACCAAAGCCAGATTTAAAAACCAGACCCGAACGTACCTTGCCAGAGTGCTCAAACTGACAAGTCAGTGAGGTCTGCGTAGTGCAAACTGCACAAGCATTTCCCCACATGAGAGTGCTCAACTGCTACAGGAGCAGAAGTGAAATATAATATATATAGAATAATAGAAGTATTTCTTGTGTCGGCAAAAAAGTGCTCGATGTCCTAAGACAGAGCGGGGTTTACACTTAGACACAAAGGACAAAACCAGCAACTTGTAGGAGTGCACTTGCACGAAACTCAGAGTAGCAACACTGAAAAACTTGGACATCCTTTGTGTCTAAGTGTATACATTTATGGATTCTCCATGTAGGCCAGGCATGAGCGAAAATTTTCAATGGTTGTGTTTCTGAGCACATCGGAATAACCAGGTGTGACTTGAAAACGCGGATGTGCAGGCTTTAGGTTTATACCTGGAAGAAGTTTGAGGCGTGTATATATTTGAGCCGCAATCAGCGAAAACGACCCTTAGAGATTTCGTAGTTTTTTTTCGAGAAAAAGGTCGATTTGTGACGTTCAACGATTTTTGGACCGCGCTGCGAACAGCGCGACAAGTTCTTCTTGAACTCCTTGCTTGAAGTAATTTATTTTGAAGAAATGGTGTCGAGTGGCGACTCTAGTGTTCCTTGATCTTGTTGCGATGGTTGCAGACGCCAGAGCTGTTCGCAGAGCACACGCGGCAGTCATTGTGTACACCTAGCTCGAGCCTGGTGGGGAGTGGATGCTGAAGTAGCCGCTGAAGTTCAGAGTGAGGATGAGACGTTCTTTGGTTCCGACATCGATATCGACAGCGTGGCGGAATCGCAGCCGTCATCTCCTGCTGCGATGCGGCTCAAGGTGGCCGATGACTAGTCAGAGTCGGAAGATGAGGAGTCGTCACCTGAGATAAATTCCGATTCTGGGGCTAGTGACGGCAGCGACGTCGTGTCTTCAGCTGTGGAGGAAGAAATGGAAAACAAGATTGCGGAACGACTCCACGCAGGATGCAGCTGCGAATATGTCGATCATTTCTCCGCACGCATCAGCTATTCTTTGTCATCTTAGCTGCTTACTGCACTCTTTCAAAAGTATTCAAGCTGCCCACCCACCTTCGAATGCTGAATATTCATTGTACACATACATCTTATACATACATTGCACCAATTTGGAGTACACCTTGTATTGTGTATTATTGGTGTATACACCTATTTTGAATAGGAATATTGAACTTTTTCTTGGCTGAGGTCGTACAGTAGATGTGTTTCAACAAATTTCTAACCAAAAAGGAATTTTGAAAAATTTGACCCTAAGGGCTGTTTTCGCTGATTGAGGCCCATTTATCAACGTCAATAATTCATGTGTACAATACTAAACAGCGCCGCAGCAGAAACATGCCAATTCCATACTGCCTTCCTGCTGGGTTTTGAACCATGATGGTTCTTGCGGAGTTCTTGGGAAAAAATTCGAAATTCGAAATAGATACACACACGTACAGACAGACAGACAGACACACTTACACACACACAGACACACACACGTACACATACGTGCACACACACACTGACCAGCATACTGTAAAAGCCATTATTCTAATGAGGCGCATATATGGCCCAGAATCTGCGAAAACCAGGCTTAGGGTGAAATTTCACAAAATGATTTGTTCCCATTTTCAGCTTCTACTGGGCATGGGAGGTCAGGAAACAAAATATTACAGGTGTGGGTCGACTCATAGTGGTACGAGAGAGCTTGGAAGCTCAGGGCCCTACGCTATGCTTTTTTGCCTTGATGACCTAGGCAAAAAAACATACTAATTCTTCCAAATTGCTTCACGACAATCACGTTATGATCTTGCATTTGAAAGCCCTATATGAATATTGTGGCCAGCTGTTTGTGGCCTGTTATATTTGCCGTCTTTGATGGTACGGTACGGTACGGGACAGATACGGTCGAGGGTAATACGACACCTTCTACCACCTTGATGACCTAGGCCAAAAAAGCATAGGGATGTTATAAAATTTTCAATTCTCCAATTTTTTTCTAAGGCATAACCTGGGATTCGAACCCGCGCTATCGCCCTACATGCATTCCCCAATACACTTCGCATTCATACTCATTCTTCCAAGTTGCTTCACGTTATGATCTTGCATTTAAAATCCCTATTTGAATATTGTGGCCAGCAGTTTGTGGCCAGCTGTGCTTGATGGTACGGTACGGGACAGATACGGGATAGCGCCAGGCGTGACACAAACACACAAACAAATACCAAATTAAAGCTGTGTGGACCCTGGCTAGCGCCAGACGTTACTGAAGTAACGTCTTCTGCATAGCTACGGAAATTAAAAGTATCTCAAACACACCAGGGTATTGTGTTAAAAAATCCAAAAAAAACACAAAATTGTTTTCACAGGAAAGAAATGAAGAGAGATCCACCAGAGTGAAGGAAGAGACATGGATGATTTTTGTTTAGGTGACATGACAGGGTAGGCATGTGGGGGCAGGCTTGTTGTGGCCCCTTGGTGCTGCAGGCTGTAGTGGCCATGCACAGTTCTGCATGAATTTTGTTTGCTCCTTACTCAGTACATTCTAGGGGCTGCATACATGTACTGGCATGTTCTGGCGCTACACGCCACAATGAAACCCGACTCCAGTTGAGATGGCACCTTTTGAAGGGTGAATCTAGTACAACTATTCAAAAACAAGCAAGAACACGGCCTTTCAAACTGTTCCACTGTTCCTAGTATGCGCATAATGTGCTGGCATGCTGCAGTGTCTGCTTGGTGCTGACCGGCAAGTGAAATCTTGGCACGCCGTACAATCCCTTGCAGCTAGCTGTCCAGCGAGGAAAGTCTCGAGTGGAGGCCTCTCGATCTGCTCGCTCATTCGCTTGGCATTCAGTAGCACTTCATCGCCAAGGACTTCAATTCAAAACAGTTTGCACATTGCGCTTCAAGCCTTTTTCCTCGTGAACTTGCTGCAAACGTATGAGCTCTGCTGCGCGTGTTCCCTTCGTGTGAGGCCCAGAAACAGCTAGTATCTCCGTGCTTCGATCGGCTGGATCGATGTCTTCCAGGTTCTACTCGCTATCGCCATCCCG